GGAACTTTAACAACATGTTATTTTCATTTTCTTGTACAAAAAGTGTCAATAATTTCAAAATCCTCCGACAGATTTTTCCCTAACTTCAACAACATTTTCTTAAAGTTTCACCATTTTTTATTACCGATGCCAAAAATCATTGAAATCGGCTAAATCGTTCTTGCTGAAAAACGCGATTCAAAAACATAACCAACACGCATATAAATAGGGTTGGGCCACTGCATAACTAAGTGCACTGGATTCATAAAAAAAATTCATAAAAAAAATTAACGGTCATGATACAATTAAAAGATTTAGCAGTTAATGAATTCGGCTTTCGTAGGATGTGAAGAATAAAGCAGATCTCGGAGGGTGTTATCCACCGAGGCCTTCGGCTTATTCATTCAAAATAATTCCTAGTATATATAAAAACATAGCTAAAACATGCTTACATGAATCTATGTTAAGTTCATCTTCGATAGTGTAAGTTTAGGTTTGCTCAGCTCCGCAAATATATTCTCCAAATAGTAGATGTCGCCCTACGAGTTGTCTTCTGGCTGTTTTTGCATGTTTTTAGCTATTATTTCGCCTAGTTCCAGCTGTAGTTCTTACTCTTGAAACGAGTGAAATGTCCGCCATTTTTTTTTTCACAAACAAAATAACTCAATCTCGTCCCGAGGTCTTCTCGGTAACGTTGCCTTAAAGGGCAACTCTCGCGTAGGACAACATTTTTCAGAAAAACCTTGCAAATGTTTCTCATTGTAATACCATCAAGGAATATATCTTCAGCGATCTATTTGGCTCAGAAATCGACATTCAAAGTGTTAAATTTGCCGCTTACTCGAACTTCCGCCATTAACGCTTCGATTTTGCCTATCACGTGACGTGACATCACAGGTGTGGAACAACAGATGATCTCGAATATGGCTGACTGTAGTTCTTCAAGTGATAGCGCTACCTCTTTGTCCGATTATTCGGTTCTAGAAAAACTTTTAGAATGCGAAGTATAAGGCAGCCCTTCACGGAAATTCAACCCCGGCGTTTTGAGCCGCCTGGAAGATCGTCCGAAGCTGATGAAGTTCGTGCGTCGCCAGAAAACATCGAGCCTACCACTCGCCCGCTGCGATCTCGATAGTGAAGAATGGTGAGTTCCTAGATGGTTTTGAACAATTCTTGTGTACAGTGCGATCCGTAAATCGCTTGATTTCACCAATGCTATGAATGCTTCAAATTGTAAAAGGAAAAGGACTAATTAAACACGCATTTTTTTTGTATACTGAGCGTTTATAATTTTAGATCATTGTTTTCATATGTACAAGTAGTCGAAAGCGTGCCTTCCCCTTCTTACGACTACTGGAAATCAAATGATAATCTGGGCAAGTTGTCTCAGTGTAGTTTTTTTTAATTTCTGCTTTAATCCTGGTTTTACAAAAAGCAGTGATTTATATCGGAAACAATAACTACGTTCTCGTAATTCGTTGACTGCAACGCAAATAAATTTCCATATCTTTGCCCCTTGACAGCCGCTCATGCTCGACTCGTGGAGTGCTTGCACTTTAAAATTTGTCTCTTTTGTTGTTATACAAATTGTTATACATAATAACTGAAAGGCGCTGTACAGTTGTTTTCCTACAAGTCGTTCACTTACTTTTACTGTGTCTTGCTCTGTCAATGAATTTGGTTCAGAAGTTGTTATTCTAACTTCTGTGTATCCTGATGTTATTATTAAGACAATTTAAAGTTGGGATGAGATACACCTCCATACCCATGTGAACTTACTGCTTGCATAAAACGTTTCTGCTCCCCAGTAGACATGTCGTATTCACTTAAGTTTTTGTCTGGAGCACAACAATGGTTATGTTAACTACAATAATATTGCATTTGATGAGATATAACTGCAGGAACTTCTATTATAATACACCCAGTATTGAAAACATATACATATTTGAAACTATTTTGTGGTTATGGGCAGGAGATAGTATGATGAAGCCATAAACGTTAAAGAGTGAATAAGCTCAAAATTGAAATAATATTCTCTGTCTTGACTTATGGCAGTTTGATAATTTTCTGGGTGCAGAATGAAAAGGTCAATATTCAACACTTGTTCTGTTGCCCTCCATTAACCGACGTTCAATATTTATGACTAAAGAAAATAACTACAATGTGATGGGGGGAAAATATCTGCTTCCAAGAGGTGGCTGTTGTAAAACGTAAATATTTGGAGGCAGTTGAAGTTAAAAATATGGAGGAGCCTCCTAGAGGAGCATAGTGAAACACCCAGGATTCCAGGCAGTTTGTCTGAATTACTGGGTGTTACGAGCTGCATGGCAATACAAGCAGTAGCATGGTGCCTCAGCATATGAAGAATCAGATCATAAAAAATGCAGGCACATTGCCTACAGGCAATTGGTAAGGTGATACTGGGGCTCTCTTGGCAGGGACACAGGAGTTACATTACCGTCCTTGATTCCTGTGCAGTTAAGTGCATACGACCTCATTTCCAGGAGCCTGAAAGGTTGGAGGATGAGATGGAGTTCACAGGATTCCATTGTGCAGGGCCGAGTTGTTCAAAGCTGGGTTAAGATAACCCAGGGTTAGTGCAAGATTTGAATTAAGATTTGAAAGCTTAAAAAGCAATTCAGTTTTAATTCTTTTTGTCCACAAGTTGATGATTGGAAGCTCTAAAAATAAGAGAGAAAATTATCCGAGAAAATGCTTTTGAACACAAGAAAAAGAAACCAGGGTTAAATTTAACTCCGGGTTAAGCGCTAACCGGCCTTCGAACAACTGGGCCCAGATGAATAATATACCATGTATTGCAAATAACCCTACTGTATATAAAATATGATGCAATTTTCTCACTCACCACTGGAAGACTGGGCTAGAGCAACTTTGTTGCCATTAAAATGATTGCTACCCAGCAAACAATGTCAACAATAATTGTTGGAACTAAAAAATCTATAGGACTACATGGTCTTTTAAAGTCCAATGGTGTCAGTGTGTGGGAAATACATAATTCTTCTCGACTATTAATTTTGCTCACAGCTTCTGAATAATAATGGCGGATTAGTGTTTGACTAATAACATGTCACCCTTTTTTTTCCAGCAGGTGTGATTGTTAACTGGGAAATAATGTACAAGTTGAAACTTTATATCTTAATAATAAAATGGTATTTTATTGTTCATTGCTGTATATCTTTAGGTTATAATGGGAAATCCTCATTTTTAAATTAGAATTCACAAATGGATTGTTTCCATCTTGCATATTTTAATTGATAAGGCAATAATAATAAACAAAACCGGTCACAGTTAAAGTGGACCATACAGTGCATGATCATCTAAGTCACTAATTGCAGTAGTGACCTAGCTTAGCCTAAACTACAAAGAATCAAAACATTGCAGGGCATTGTAGTCCTTCTTTAGTTGACTAGGCTGGAAAGATTTTATCTGCTAACGAAAGAACCCATTGCCTTATCTCTGTTGGGCCCCTCTAGGATGCAGCAAGTAGTGCAGGGGCATTCAGTTGCAGGTTCAACATGTAGTTTTTTAAAACCCTTGAATTTTCTTAATAGCCAGCAAAGACTTTCAGTTATGGTTCTTGAGCCATAACCTTCAATAAAAAGGTTCATACTGCAGGAAACTTGCCTAATTCTTTCTCCTTTTTGACTCCCGTTATGGATCGCATTTTTCTCCTTGGAATTTTCCAAAAGTACTGCGTCGGGGATTTAAAAACGGGTTTAATAATTTCTTTTTTCCTTTCTTGTGAGAAGTCCCAAAGGGAAGTATTGCAAAAGAAGCGTGACACGCGTGGCTATCAAGGCAGTTTTATAGTGTTCGCGGGTAGGACGGGTACAAAGTACCACTAAAGATAATGAAGCAATCCTATTTTAATCAACTTTTTTTGAACTGTTTTCATTTCTTTCCATCCTTAAAAGGCCCATTACATGTAATTTTAGCGTGTGTGCAGGTTTTGCAATGGAATGACGCTACAATCTCGAGAGCACATCTCGAATAACTACATTCAAAATGATGATCATAAAATCGCAATTTTCGGCGAGAAGTGAGTTTTATTTCGCGTGTTTAGAAGCAAAGGTAAATGGATGGAACCTGCAGATTTCAGACAAGAGAACAACACACTTAAGTGAAAACACAAAAGGCGGTATAGAATCAGGCCGGTACGGCGGTCTGTGACGGAGTTCTCTTCAAAGATGCGAGTATTTCCCGGGAAAAAATTAAGTCGTTTTCGAGGAATGAAGGGCATCAACACCCATCAGGTAACATTAATGGTTGTATCAGAATTTTAAATCTGCTATAGGAAAGATGTTCTTTGTATTATACGTAGCAGATTAGGAGCTTAGCTGTTTACAATTATTGACCTCGGGTCGATAAATGTCTCACGCGACTTCAAAAATACCCTAAGAAAAAAAATACAGAAAAAAATCTAAATCACCCGCATCTGATGCCCGTGTAAATTTAAAAATTGGAACCATCATCGAAATGCTTTTCCTGAACGTTAATATGACAGTAGAGGCTCTATTTCTCCTTTATTTGCAAGAGAAATTTGGTGCGTTTTTCTATTACAATCTTCACTTGGCAATCCGTGTTCCACACGTGTGACGTAAAATCACGTGACTAACCTGAAATCCGAATGTTTTCAAAATGGCGGCAAAAATCGAGTTTTCGAAAAATTATAAAAAAATAAGTTTCGCAGATATATCCGAAATTTCACCAAAGAGAGACATTACATGCCATTAGGAAACCATAGAGAACTTAAAAAACAGGGGTAATTTTCCCGAGAGTTGCCCTTTAACCAGTAGCGGGCTGCATTTTTGACGCCATTTCCACGTTAAACACAAAATTCTTCCAACTTTGGTCATCAGTAACTGGTTATCGTGAATTACACGTGTGCTTTTAGCCAATCCGAATTGGGAAAATATGTTGAATGAATAATAATATGTCTTAATTGGCCTTTGCAGGAGAATATGATGCTGTCCCTTTTGAACTGGATGAGGTGTCTTATAGGCATGACCTTCCTGTGCAGTTGCCTTGAGGCCAATTATACGTGTGATCCAATAATTAATGGTTGCGGTTGTCGCTGTCCAGGAAAGATTTATAATCTCGAACCAATTGATAGAAAGGATGGCATTCCAAGGTAAATAAAAACAGTTTATTTTTCATTCCACCGATTGGCTCAAATCCCACAACGTATTCATCACCCAGAAAATGGCGTCAGTAGAACAGGATAATCACTAGAAAGAGGGACGGCTATCGAGAAGCCCCGAGGACGAGGTTGCGTTGTTTTGATGGACCATTAGAGAATGGCAGAACATTTAACAAGTTTTTCGTGGAAGAACTAGTCGAACTACAGCCTGAATGAATGAAATAATTGTTGTATTCGGTTCTCCTCTGATCTGAAGATTTATGCAGATATCGGAGGGTGTTATTTGCCGAGGCCGATTAATAAGCCTTCAGATCATTTTTAGCCTTATCCAGTAATTGCTCATAATATGGTAGTGCTCGTTAAAGCGTATTTTGAAAAACGTGCTGGAATTCCAGGTCCCTGGAGTAATTGCCTCATGGGTTTTTACTTACGTCGGAATTAAGTCGGAATGAAGAATTATAGTCGTATAGTTATTTGGACAGCTCTATGAATGACTGGACTTGCCTTCGTCGTAGGACCCGCAGTTTGAAGAGCTGGTTATGCTAAAATTGTATCGGTCTACTTGGTAAGCCTTGAGGTTTATAACTTGTATTTTATCGACAGGTTTACTACCAAAAAGGATAATTTTGGGTATAAATACAGTTACAATCCGTGTACTTCCTTCTTGCTGAGCCAGATACAAGTGCCTGGTGACTGTAACAAAGATGTGGCAGTAAGTTTTGGGGAGAATATATATTATCAAGGGGGTTTTTAAATTTAGTATCATAGACAGCCGTTGAACTACCAGGATAGAGAAAGTATATGAGACCAAACAGAAACCTTTTTCGGTTAATCGGAAAGCTAAGGGCAAATGAAATTGATGTAGCCAATTTATCAGCACACCATAGCATAGGATATAGGAAGAAACACTTAACGATTAGTCGCCTGAGGAGTATAATTACATTGATGATTATTCGAGAAAATAAAATTATTGATCAATTTCCGACTCCGAAACATCAACAAATCTGGCTGCCATTTTGAAAACTTCTAGCCTTCAATATTATAATCACCGCGCCGTGATTATAGCTGGATGAAGCGAAGTTCCTAGTAAATCATAGCGCTCTATTTTCGATAATCATCAATGTAATTATACTAAGCTCATATATCTATATTTAGTGTACAACACTCAGCGATCTTGGTGATTAAAGCAATCTGATTGGTTCTTTATCTCGGACTGTTCAAGGAATATTCAACCAATAGCGAGCAGATATTTGAACAAGGTGTTTGGCCAACCTTTTAGAATAAGAGACTTAACACTGAGCAATTTAAGCTTTTAATTATTACAAATAATCATTACGCTATTGTTTGCCAAAGCATTTAACTCTGATTTACCATGTCTGAAAGTTCTGTAAAGATCTAACTTTTAGACATGTACTGTTTACCGCCACATACGCATTTTCCATGAATGATTTGATCTGTCAATCAAATATTAGTTTTTACTTTGAGATTGTTGAGGTCACCTCATCTGTATATACACCAAGTTAATTATTCTTTGCAATTTCGGTGAATAGAACCTTTAGGAATATTTACTTCTATTTCAAAGAATAATTGCTAATTATATAACAGCTTTTGGACTTCAACTTCAGCTGTTTTCTAACATCTTATTTTCCTTCAGATTTGTCGGTGGGCCGCAATTAACTCAAGCTACCAAAACATTGGAACGAATACTTCAGTACAATGTCACTTCAATAACGAGTCAAACAGTGCAGAGCTGCATTACAGGAACGAGGAGTAAGTTGGCTGTTGTTTGCACATAACTGTTCCATTCCGGGTCCGAGAGATGAAAACTAGCCTGTTCTAGGCGTTCAGATAGTGGGGAGCGGTGCGAAGTAAAAAGGAGCGCGAAAAAATAAAAGCGAGGGAGAAGGAGAGGTGAGAGAGGGAACGCCTGTTAGATTTGTTTTAAATAGACTCTTCCACCCAGTCAGACCCCATCAGCTGTAGGTGGTCTTCACTTGTCAATCAAGACTGGTGTTACAGCCCGATGCATTTATTATTTTTCTTGCGAATAAATCGAAGTTTGTCAGATCAAAAATTAATAATATGCATACATAATCTTACTAAAAACCCAATGTAAGACNAATCACGTGACTAACCTGAAATCCGAATGTTTTCAAAATGGCGGCAAAAATCGAGTTTTCGAAAAATTATAAAAAAATAAGTTTCGCAGATATATCCGAAATTTCACCAAAGAGAGACATTACATGCCATTAGGAAACCATAGAGAACTTAAAAAACAGGGGTAATTTTCCCGAGAGTTGCCCTTTAACCAGTAGCGGGCTGCATTTTTGACGCCATTTCCACGTTAAACACAAAATTCTTCCAACTTTGGTCATCAGTAACTGGTTATGGTGAATTACACGTGTGCTTTTAGCCAATCCGAATTGGGAAAATATGTTGAATGAATAATAATATGTCTTAATTGGCCTTTGCAGGAGAATATGATGCTGTCCCTTTTGAACTGGGTGAGGTGTCTTATAGGCATGACCTTCCTGTGCAGTTGCCTGGAGGCCAATTAAACGTGTGATCCAATAATTAATGGTTGCGGTTGTCGCTGTCCAGGAACGATTTATAATCTCGAACCAATTGATAGAAAGGATGGCATTCCAAGGTAAATAAAAACAGTTTATTTTTTCATTCCACCGATTGGCTCAAATCCCACAACTTATTCATCACCCGGAAAATGGCGTCAGTAGAACAGGATAATCACTAGAAAGAGGGATTATTATTCTCTCATTATCATTATCCTCTCATTATTCAGGGTATTGTCTCCAAGTTTCATATTTTCGTGCATAACAATAGCTAGCAGTTTTGCATATGTCAAATGCATTGTTAGTTACTGCTGTTCACGTGGAAATGAAACTTTGAGACAATACCCCTGAATAATAAGAGGCTCTCACTTGTAAAGACAAAATTTCAGACAAAATATTACCGAATTGTAGCCCTTATTTTACTATCTTACAATATATCAATAATCTTGAAACTAAGACGTCAAATAAAAGGACGGTTTATCCCAACACTCTTAAATTTTTTAGAAAATTTATCGAGCGGTTTAAAAATTATTCGCCAATTTGTTAAAGTAGACCGAAACGTTTACATTACGACTAATAAGAGCGCCCCGATACGTACTAATCAAATCCTTCTTTCTAGAAATCGGCTAGAGGTATCTCCATGATCTTTCACACACGTTTTTAAAAAGATTGAAACTACTGTGAGGTGAAATTGCATGTCAAAAGCGCTTCGTTTAGTACAGATAACAGTCTAACATCAAGACTGTCAATTTTTTACCGTATTTCTAACCAGAAAAACTTCATCCCCAAAATATCTCGATAGCGCTCTTACAGATTTCGCTTAAACGTCACGAACATCGAGGCAGCTATCGTAGGTAAAAGCTCCAGTAAACGATTTTGGAAGAACGGTTCCCAGTGCCGAGAAATACTGCTGCAAGTAAAATAGGAAATGGCGTCATTTCGTTGCTATGACAACTCCGATGTCATTGTAACCTTGATCATAACAAATTTTCATCTTTATCTAACACAACTGCGGTCTTAATTTTTCCAAATCTTTGTTTATGGCGACTTAGTTTACGCTCAAACTTGGGAGGTATTGACCCTGAAAAACTGTATCGAGCCACCTTAAGCCAAAACAACAACTTTGCACGTGCATCACGCTTTTTTAATACATTTCTTTGTCCTCACTGCATGACTTCGACGTGAAAATGCCTACTGATTGCACGTTTTCCGAAGGACGTAAAGAATCGACGACGAATTCTTTTCTTTCTATTTCTGAACTTGAGAGCGGTCCCCAAGAAATTAACTCCTGGAAAATTCGCCTGCATTTGACATTGCAGCGAATTGGCATAAAAGCGACAAAGTTTGACGAAACGCGAATTTATTTTAAAAGTGACGTTTTCTCTATCGTCCCCGTCGTCGATGCTAAAGCTCCATTTTGACTCTAGAAATCGTAACCTGTAAATTGGCTGCAACCAAAGAGTATCGTGTTGTAAACATAAGATTTTTAGCTTTGGTGGGGGAGTTTTCATTTCAGGTTTTTTTTCTTTAATACTTTTTCTTAATCACCTCTAATGGCTTAGAGTTTATTATACTTGAGTTTATTGCTTATATTAAATATAAGTATTTATAAAATAACTCAGATAGTACGAGCGTTCTGATCGGTTAAAAAACTATGGTTTGTTGTGCCGGTAAACTCATAAACTGAAACATTTTCCGTTTTACTTAAAGTTATTTTATAAAAGCAATAGACCACACTTTCTAACCTACTTGGGATGCTGGAAGAACACTCGAAAAGCTAGTAAATCACTCGCTTTCGGCTCATGATTTACAAGCCGTTCTCGTGTTCTCCGAACATCCCGTGCCGGTTATCACGACGGTAAACCCACAGAAAGTGTGGTCTATTGCTTAAATAAAAAGAGGCTTCGCTTTTAGCTCTGGCCAGATCTATATATTAATTCTAAGGGAAAAACTATTCAGAGGAAGGCGAGAACCAAAAACAACAACAGCAACAAGCTCTATTTGTATGATCGTAACAAATATAGTATTGCAAAAGCTATTCATAACTACTTATTGATTCGTTAATTAATTCTTAAGGTAACTTAAAATAAATAATAATAATAATAATAATAATAATAATGATAACAATGATTATAATAATAATGATGATAATGATCATAATAATAATGATGATAATAAAGTAAATTCGTTGCCTATTTTAAACTATTCATACAGGAGGAGTAATTATTCAGTAGTGAAATTTTTCTCTTAATTAGAAGAATGATGCAACAGTGCTCAACCACGTATGGATATCCCGGGTTCATTGGTCGGCGACGAGAGAGCTTAGCACTGCGTCTGCCTAGTCTGTGTGGAAATAATTCCTTTCAGTTTAAAAAAAAAACAGAAATAGAATTTAACGTGGTATAAGTAAATATTTACCTTCAAAATTCTCTTGCTGTTATATATATCGCTTTTTTGTATTTTTAGCTTATAAAAGCATTCACTCTGGATTGCTGCTGTAGACCTTCCGTTGACCGCATTGCAGTAGTCATCGGGAAGGAATCGAGTTATCTAACTCATGTATTCTTCGTTTCCCTAACCGTAAACCCCTCATCTTAAACTTTCAGGATGTATTAAGTTAGAAACACAGTGAAATCTGTAGGACAGAATTTTTCCAAAAGGCAAAAATGTCGAATTGTGTAAGCTTTGATAATAAATTAGAAACTGAAAACAGTGGCTCTGTCCTCAAAAAAGCTGCAAATGCTGAAGGAAGATCACTAACATCTCATTAACTAAATCTTTTGCCAACACGATTCATGGATTCCATGAAACACATAGTTACATTAAAAACCTGCGACTAAAATTTGGCACTTAGGCGTCCCCTATACAAAACCTGTTTGGGCTAAAATTTGAAACAGTGCCTTATTTTCTAAAATTTATAAAAAATTCCGTACATTTTAGCAAATAAGTCAACATTCAGGACCATCTTTGGAAACATAGGTACCCCATCACTCCAACTGCAATACTAATTTAGTATGCAAATTCAGTATATAGGGATAGGCTGAATGCCACTAAATATTCTTTGCTACAATATAGATTTTTTTCAGGAAATAAGAACCTATTTAAGAATTTGAATAGCCTAAATTTGTGCTTATTACCATTTATCTAAGAACCTGTTTAGTCTAACTTGGGAAAATCCAGGTTCTTGGTCGCGGGCTTTTGCTGTATGTCACTGTTTGTGTTGAAAGATCTTGTTTTTTCTTGCAAGGTTTCTCCCGCTATGGAAAGCCAAAGTTATTCTCAAGTGTGATAAATCTAAAAAAACGCCAGAGGAAGCAAACTTTACGTTCATCAGTGATGCTAATAATATTTGGGTAAGACAGTTTCTTGACACAAATATGCGATTATAATGCGACATGTTTCAAGTGTCAAAAAGTAAATTAATTCGATGTCATTAAGATCCCCTTGTGGCTCGACTGGATTTTTAAGAGGGGATACATTTTCTACGTCGGCATTAACAAATATATCGGAAAAAAGCTATCACAGCTGTTTTATATGAAGATGAAAATTTGTTTTGATCCATGTTTCATTGACATCAGAGTTACCATGGCAAGGAAATGACGCCATGAAATTACCATTACGCCATTTTTTACTTGCCTTTGTATTTCTCGATAGCGGGAGTTTTTTTTCGGAAATAGCTTAAGGGAGCTTGTACATTGGTGGGGGGTGTACGTAGTTTGGAAGAATTCTACTACTGTGATTGAAATTGATTCATAGTGATTTTTTTTGCTGTAAATATGCGACTTTCTGTTGGGTGGGAAAGTTTTTTCATTTCAGGTGTGTTTGCGGATTTTTTTTTCTTAATCACTTAACCCCTCCCTTTAGAGGTGAAGTTATGCCGAAGGTTCCTAAAGTTAAATAGGGATTTGAAGATTTGTTCTAGTGGCTTAGAGCTTGCTAGTTCAAATTTGATTGCTTTCATTACAAGTACGTAAACGGAGGCTTCGCTTTTAGCCCTCGCTAAATCTATATACTTATCAACTGTATTACTACAGTAGTTGCAGAAATTCTCGAGCTTACATACATGTACTTACGAAGCAACGCATGACCAAACATTATAATGAAATTGCATGGCCCGTAACACTCTAACCACATAGCTTGTACTAAACCAGACGCCTCTCTTCTAGTTGAGATAACCTTCTTAAGTCTTTTCTCGGTGTTTGAT